TAAAGTTCCCAGCATGCAAACCTATCACATGGCACATCACTGGAAAGCCCAGGATGTGCTCTACAGAACACTATAGGGCTTGATAGGGTAACTCCAGATACTTAGGGGGGGTACATGTGGACAAAATGTCCACTATAATGGACATAAATGAATGGGCCGGGTCTCAGGAGGTTAAAGAATTTCAGGTTTATTAAAAAAACAACAACACTGAATCAGGAACCCTTCCTAACCCCATCAGGAATCTGTTTCTGTTACACAACCACCAGGATGTTAATTGTCCTCAGACCAGCCATCATCATCATCATCATCATCATTTCCATTCCTGGAACCTTCCTTTAGGACCAGTTGAGCCTGTTTGGTTCCTGCTCTGTTACACAGTCTGTAACAACATGACTTAATCGTAACCAAAGATTATGTGCTGATTTACGGCCTTGTGAACAATGATCAGTATTCCCACTTAACCCTAGATTATCTGGTGTTTCTCCCACAAAGCTTTGGAAGCTAACGAGGCCTTCAGAAACTGGATTAAGTGACTTCTTTCTTGAAAATCAAACATTTAGAATCAAGTTATAGAAGCAGTGTGAGAAGGTGTATATATACCTTTATCTATCTATCTATCTATCTATCTATCTATCTATCTATCTATCTATCTATCTATCTATCTATCTATCTATCTATCTATCTATCTATCTATCTATCTAGTTTAGACCTCCTCCGCCTTTGGAGGGATTTTGTTTTTAATTTCTCGGCCTTGTGGCCTCTGGCTGAGGAACGCTTTGCCCTGAACAATGACATTTCATAGCCTGTTGATTCCTGTATCTGCGTCCTGACAGACCCCTTTTTAAAAGATTTTAGTAGAAATCATCCTTCTCCTCGCCAGGTAGGTCGTGGAGGGGGGAAGGGAGGAGGTTCAGCCGGGAAGAGGCGCCTCTCCATCCCCTGCTGTGTCCAGAGAGCCACTGGACGGATAATTAAAGTTGACTTCACAACTTAACCCTTTAAAGCCTGATCCAAGAATAAAACAAAACAGAAAATGACTTTTTTTGGTTTGAAGTCTTTATTTGGCCTTTTAACAAAATATGTA